AACTTTCTAAAAATAACAAAATATAACGTTTTTCTTTTTTAAAAATTACATACAATCAAAGATCTGTACCATTTTGCAAAAAAATACATTTCAAAAATATAAGCAAAAGTTTCGAAATTGCCAAATTAAGATTTTATTTCTTGTGTCTTTGGCGCTTGAAATCCCAAAATTGTGACGTTTCTATTTCATAATCAATGTTGCCAAATTAAGATTTCATAGCACACTCGTAGTTGACGACAAAAATTACAATTCCATTGCTTCTACTTCATTCAATGTTGCCAATTGACAACTCAAACAATATTTTTGATCTTTCAGTATAATATACTAACCAGTGAATTTTTTTTTAAACTTTTCTTTTTGATAATTAAAAAACTCTTAAACACGTTTACGAACCTGTAGAATATGTTATTTTATATTTCTCAGATTTTTTAGATGTTTCTGGGATTTTAATTAGATTTATTGTTCGACTGTTTTTGCATTGTTTGTAACAATATTTTTAAGTGACTTTTTCAAAGTTAAATTAAACTATTTTTATTAATTTCTAAGAATAAAAAACACTAACAAACGCATTTTTTTTTAATTAAAAACAAAATACTAGACTATTTTGCGATAAAAACTACATTCAATGTCACGTGACGGCTATGCCAGTGAAGGTCCGTCAGAAATCAATGACAATTGACTATAAAATTATGACGTTTGATTTTGACAGCCAGTGTTGCCAAACTAACATTTCATGGCCTACTTGAAATTTGCGTGCACACTATTCAATGTTGCCAACTTAATTCCAACCTCAGAGGCCACTTTGATCGAAAATTTTATTTCGTGTTGCCCTGTCTCGCATTAAAATGACTTATTCACGGCGGGTTGTTTGAAAAATCCGAGCAATTTTATGAATAAGACATCGCGCCCTTTATGAAAAACCCAGCCGCCATCAATATTTCGGCAAATAAGTGTTTTCCTCCGAGCAAATTGAATTCATAAGAGGAGATTAAACGGAGCTCGACTCAAACATCGATAAAAACGTAATCATGAAGCCACTTCGGTGGCTAAATTAGCAATCTGTTATCGAGGAGCATTAAGGCCGCCCTTCGAGATTGAAACTGTCAATAGTGGAACCGATTCGGTTACACCGACAATTCGATTTAATTTCGATGTGATGGACGAAATGGCTGGCGCAGGGCCAACTCTGATCGATTTATGGCGAAATTAGCGACAGACTAATAGGTAGAGTTGTTGCAAAAGTTGAGGGGGAGAGACGGAAAGTTGCATTCGGTTTGCGAGAACTCTCACTATGTCTTGAAGCTAACGCGAAATGGGGTCAGGTTCGCAATATCGCAAATACTTTACTTGTTAACATACAGGAAATATCACTTCTGACAATAGGTGACGATAAAGCGGAAATGGGAGTGCAGGAAAGCTTTCACTTATTTAAAAATTTATTACAGTTGAGGTTTCAAAGTTGGGGAAAATATTTTAAAGTGAAGACAAATCTTTAAAGATCTTACAATTTGAAACTTTTATTAATTCAACTCTCGACGAATCTGTCTAATTAGATTTGCAATTACACGTTTTTTCCTCAAGACTGAAATTAGAGTCAAGCGTTTTAACTTATTTATTACTGAAATGGGAAAGACACCGGGGGCTACGTTTTAATAAATTTCACTTAATAACTAATTAAAAAAGTTGCGAATTATTTAAACTCAAAAACCGAAAGAAAAATAAAGGATATAAAAGAACAAAACAGAAATTTATTCAAAAACAGGAGAAAAATCAGAAAGACAAAATTAAAACTTGTTAGAAAACAATCTACCGGGTGACTATAATTGTTTGTGACAAAAAATCTATTGGCAACATTGAATTACTAATAATCTTCTAATTTGTAATGAATGACAATTGCCTATAAAAGTTCGATGTTTGAATTTGAATGACAATCTTGCCAAACTAAAATTTTGAATTTGATACCAACTTGAAGTAAAAAATCATTTACAGTTACCCGGTGGTTTTACTTTTGATTTATTTATTTACACAAAAAGTGTGTCTTAAGAAATAGAAGAAATAGAAAGAGAAGAATATATTTCTCCTTTAATGAAGCAAAATAAAATGAATAATAACAAAGAAACAACACAAAAATAAAGAAGAGAAAGGCTTAGAAAAATAAAACAAGTAACAAGAACAGAAGTATATTTTTTTCAAAATATCGTTCAGTATTTTTTTTTAATTTGATTTTGATTTTTTATATTCTTTTTCTTTCACTTTGTACTATCTTGTGATTTTTCCTTCTGTCTTCTTTTTTTTCTGAATTTATCCCTTTTTCACATTTTTCCTTCTCTTTTTATTTTTTCTCATTTCTCTGTGTTGTTCTATTTTAAACATTTTCATTTTGTTTTTTCTATTAATTTTGTATGAACTTTTATTACTTTGGCTTTTATTGTATTTGTGGTAAATTTTTTCCTTCGATTCGTTTAATTTAAATTGCTTTCTTTAATACTTTATATGTTTGCATTCTTCTTTTTTTATTTTTCATTTTTGAGAGTAAGTCAACTTACTCCACGTCATTTTCTTTATTCTTTTTTTCTCTGTTTATTCATTTTCATTTCTTCAGTTTTCTACAAGTCTTTCAAAATTACCTTCACCTTGTCGAATACCTTAATTTTTTATAAAATTTCGTCCTTCTTTATCAATAATTAATAAAAAAAAATCTTAATTTTTAATGCAAAACTTACCTTTCATTTATATTACTTTTAACTTACCTTTTGTTTACTTATTTATTTATATACTATTAACTTTTTACACTATTTTCACTTTTGTAGATATTTGTTTTAAAGTTCGCGCTCTTATTCGCCCGCCATCTATTGGTTTTAGTTTTAGTTAGTATTGTGCGCTTTCTCTCTTATACTTATTAGAACATGTGCACATGTTTTTAAAGATCGCGCTCTTATGCGCCCGCCCTCTTTTGACATTTATTTGAATTATATTTGAATTTGAATTTGAGAAAAATTGCCGATTTGACTGGGGCTCGAACTCGGGACCTACCTGCTGGAAAGCGGGACCTTATGCCGCTGAGCCACCACCGCTGCCGACAATTTCAATGTTTTTGTGCTTTATTAAGTCTTTTGAACCCCCAAGAGTGCAAATGGACAATTTTGAAGTTTTTAATTTTTTCGATTTTTGTCGAAATTTTGGGCGATTTTTAGCACCCGGAGCGCTCTACTGCCAATAACTCCGGACTTTTTGGTAATAACTTCTTATATTTGGTACCGTTGGAAAGAAAATTTAATTTTCTATCATATACAAAAAAGATCAGTGCTCTACGACAAATATTTATCGAGAAAATTTGTGATAATTGTTTTAGAATAATTCTGTTATTAGCCCAGGAAAAGATAGAGTTTAGGGGGTGTTTATCTATGTAAAAAAATGCGCACTTATTTATAATTGTACAAGGTGTTAAAAATATTCTATTACTTTGCGGACCTATGTTTATAATAATTATCACTATAGACTACACTCTTGTGTTCTTCTTTTCTCTTTTTTTGTAAGAAAAAATGATTTTTTTGTTTTACATTCTGCTCTTTTTTTTTCTTTATATTTAGAAATAAAATACATGAAAAAACACGTGCCAATGAATAAAAAGTATGAAACCAAACGTTTTTTTGCTTAAACTATTTATTTTTTGGAAAAACTAATGAATGATGATAATGAATGATAAAGTAAAGTAAAAATGTGAAAAATATATATTTTTTTATTTTCTTTTGTTTTTTGTACCATTTTTTTTATTTTTTACTATTTTAACCTACTATAAAAAATGGTTTTTTCATTAAGGTTATGATAAGGATTACAACTATCTACTTTATTTTTAATTTTTTCAAAAAAAAATTGTTACTTACATAATTTGCAATTTTGACAAAGAAGTTGCATAATTCAACAACACAAAACAAAATTTCGTTCTCAAAATACGATCACATTTTTTATATTACTTTAATTTATATTCAGGAAAGAAAAACTGCGAGAAAAGAGGACGAAATTGTGGAAAACAACTTAAGGAGAAAAAACTGGAAGAGAAGATAATAAACTAAAATGTTACAGAATTTAATGTTACAGAAAAAATGAAAGAACAAAAACAAACGAATGTAGTATGAAGTAATAGCCAATAAACACTATGAAAAAAATAAGAAATGGTCAAAAATAGGTTGAAAAAAAAAGTAGATGAAAACTCATCATAAAAAATAAAACAAAAAAATCACTTAGTTTCAAAGGAAAAACAGAAAAATACTAGCTTGCATTGAAGAAGTCAAAAGAGAGATAAAATATAAATAAACAGAGAAAAACAAAGGAATCGTCAAAAAAATGTTTGAGAAAAATAATAAAATAAAGACAGATATAGAGAAGACAGTAAAAGAAACTGATACAGGGATATAAGAACGATAAAAAGATAAAAATAAATATAAAAATTTAAGTCAAAATATTTACTTGACTTTCTATTTTTTTTTTGTCTTTTTGACTATAATAGAAATCAGAAAAAAATTGCTTAACTCGATTTTTTTTTCTTAAACTTTCAATAATAGTTATTTATTATACAAAACGATAAAGGTCGTGTATAATATTTTGTTTTACTTTGTACTCACCTATCAGAATTTCTTAAATATAAACAGTAGATAAAAGTGACTTTATTTCACTAGTCGCTAAAAGACTGCTTTATCTACTGAAATTAGTTGATAAAATATAAACAGTAGGTAAAAATCCCTTCATTTCACTAGACGATAAAAGACTCCTTTATCTACTAAAATTAGTTGATAAAAGCACTCTTTAACATTGAGTAAAAAATAAACTTCATTTTCATTCTAGTTAATTTTGTCTCATTTCTTTTTCATTTCCTGATGTTTTTTTCTTTTTTTTTATTCTTCCATTTATTTACAGCAAACTTTACAACTAAGTATTTTTGTCAATTAATTAATATTTTTTAAATGTGAAATTGTTAATTTTTTATTTTTCTTTTGTTTCAGGACATCGACTACGACGGTTTTCGCAAATTCCTCGACACGTTCCTGGAGGTGACGACTTCGGAAGAGCTCTGCCGCCATCTTTTCCTCTCATTTGTTCGTAAAGGGGTAAAAGTCGAAGGTAAAGCGTTTAAAGAAATGGCCGTACTTAGTTCCACCACTGCTTGCGCTCCTATCACTTCTCATAACAAAGGTAACCATTTTACAAGTTTCTAATCTCAACAAAAGCGATTAGTATTCATTACGGAGCTAGGACGCCATTTTTAAAATGGCGCCGGCTTCGTAATCTTGTGTTTACAAGATGTAAAGGCCGAGAAATTGTATTGTTGAGGGGCAGAGCCGTCCTAATCCCTCATTTGCTTATCTAAGGACCCCGCCTTTGTCCCTGCCAAACAAGATTAAACTCGGGGGTTCACGGGGGGCCATTTTGCATGTTTACATTTTGTCGGTAGTTTTTACGAGCAATTTTCACCGGAAATTGCGCGAGTTTACGACGATATTAAACCATGTTCGATTTAATGTCTTTCTAAATTGCGCCAACTCTGTGTTTGCTCGTTATGCCAAGTAATATGGAAATAATTGGGGCTGTTGCGACTTAATTGAAATCGAATTGTACAAAGTTTACGACTCTTGTGTGACTAACCTTAAAGGAATTAAAAACATTAAAACGTCGCACGACTCACTTAAATCTCTTGTTTTTTGTTTACCGTACTTTCGAGAAGTTTAAGCCGCGACTTAAGCTCTACGAAACAAACACTTTTTGTTACTGCAAACAACAACAATTTATCACAGAAACATCTTAAATTAAATCGGGATTTGGGGGAGTAAAATGGTAGATGCGCCGGGAGAATGGCTCATAATCTACCATTAATCGTGTCTAATTGAGCGAAATTTTAGTTTTTGATTGCTTTTTTCATAATTAACAATTTTCCGTGTTTTGAACTGTTACTAAGCGGATTTGACTGACATTCAAATCCATGTAATTAACGCAAATTTAACTAGAAATTGCGAATTGAGAGTTAATACCTTGTATCATCTATTATTCGAGTCAGTTTACCAGAAATAACACCCAAAGCCATATTTAACTAACTGAAATATTGTACATTACATTCAAATAAATTTCGGATCAAGTGACCTGTGACTTTGAAATAATTAAGTTGGCAACACTGAATATTGGAGACACTAGAGAGTGTCAGGTGACGGCCGTGCCAGCAGCCGCCCCTCGAAGTGAATGACAATTGACTATAAAAGTGTGACATTTAAATTTGACAGTTCATGTTGCCAACTTAATTTTAGAGTTTGATTAGAAATTCATTTGAAAGCATACATAAGTTGATAACAAAGCTTTAGGTCCAATTGACTATAAAAGTGTGACATTTAAATTTGACAGTTCATGTTGCCAACTTAATTTTAGAGTTTGATTAGAAATTCATTTGAAAGCATACATAAGTTAATAACAAAGCTTTAGGTCCTTTTTTGCATCAAATTTTTCTACGTTTGTCAATCAAACGTCAATCTTATTTGACAGATTATTACCATTTGCCAATTAGGAATTATATTATTTGGAAGAAGTATGTTGAAATGCTAAATGAATAACATACTTAAAAGTCAAAAAACAAGAAAAAAACTTTTTTTTTTTTCAAAAATATCATTTAGTAAATTATTTTGATTTTTCAGTCTTTTTACACCATCTTTTATATTTCTCTTCTGTCTTCTTTTTTTCTGAGCTTTTTTCATGTTTTTCCTTTTTTTATTTTCTCTCTAATTTTATTTCTTACCATTTCTCTGTGTTTCTGTATTTCAAACTTTTTTATTTTGTTTTTTTTTCAATAATATTGAATGAATTTCTGTTTTATTACTTTGTTTTTTATTTCTTTTGTGGTATTTTTTCCTTCTATTTTTTTCAATTTAATTTACTTTTTTAATATAAATTTTTGCATTTTTTTATTTTCCCATCTTTGAAATTAAGTGAATTAATTTTACTCATTTTCTTTATTCTTTATTTCTCTACCTGTCTATCCCTTTCGTTTCTTAATTTTTTTCATTTTTCATAGTCGATCATACAAACTATTGTATTTTAACAATCAAGTAATTGTAGTCGATATGTTTAATTTTCGACAATTTGGCGATGAAAAAAGTAATATGTCAGTCAAAATTAGTTATATGGAAAAAAAAACACTTGTAAAATTTTTGAAAAGCCACCCTGTATTTAATTATAATTTTAAAAATTAAGTTGGGAATATTACAAAATACAAGTTAATTGCAAAAGATGACAGTAAGGACAAGTTTAGATAAATCACCCTGTGTATTTTTGTACTTTTTTACTTTAAAGAAATGGCACAAAAAAGGTATTGTCATACTACCCTTATTTTGCAATTTTTTACATTTAATTTTTTACTTTTTAATAAAAACAAAAAAATCACTTTCTTTACTCATATTTGCTTTATTGATAACAAAAAAACAAGAGATTATCAATTGAATGCAGCTGTTTGTTGGGAAACATTCAAAGGTCACGTGACATTAAAAAATTCAATTTCTAAATACTAAAGTGCTCCACCCTGTACATTGATTGTAATTTTTTTTTAAATAAAAATCATTGCTGTGTATTATGTTATTTTCTTTATTTTTATACTTTGTCGAATTTCTTAATTTTTTCATCAAATTTCTTCTCTCTCTATTACGATACCCTCTTGTGTTTTTCTTCTTTCTTCTTCTTTTCTTTTCTCTTTATGTTCTTATTTCTTTTGTCTATTTTTTCGTCTTTTTTTCATACTTTTTTCTTTCTAAAATTATCATTACTTTTTTGTCTTTTACTCTCTTTTATTCAAAATAAATAATTTTCTGTTTTATTCTTTTTATATTTATATTCTTTTTTATATTCTATATCTTGTTTCATATATTTTCTTTCAAAGTTTTTTTCAAATTTATACTTGTTTTAGAAAGCAATAGACTTTTGAAGAAAAATAAAAAACAATAAACAAATAAAACAAAAAATACAAGAAATACTTACAACCTTTATTTATACAACAGGAATAAAATAAATGTAAAACATTATTTATTATTTATTTATTTATTCTTTTGTATGAAATAATAAACAATTTTGTTTCAAGTTCCTTCTATTGAATTTCAATGAAGTGGCCTATGATTTTAAAATTAAGGTGGCTACATTGCAAAATGTCAAATTTCATATCTTCAAAGGCGACTCTGATCGGACCAAAACAGCTTTTCTCTGCATTTTTAACCCTCTCCCTTCGCAATTAACCCGTACTAAAAATGGTGGATGCGCCCCATTGTCGTAGCACCCCTTTTACCCCCAAAACCATAATCAGGTTCCACACCCAACGTCAACTCCATCGGCGAACCCATCGAAACCAAAAGCCAACTCTCGGCGGAGAAAGCTACGACTTACGGCGAAATGCTCGTGGAGAAGATCCACGGTTTCGGGGAAAAACTCCTAGGTCACCACCGTTCAGACAGCGATTGTTCCACTCGAGGCAAAACAGGTGAGTGAACCCCCACGAAAATGCGATTTTCGAGAGGGAATTTCAGGGACTGTGCACCCCATGTTGACCGTCACACACACTTCGTACTCCTGCCATGAAGTCTTGGGGAAAAAAAGCACCGATTCGTCGCCCTCACACAGCCAAATCTCCAGAAACTCCTCCAAGAAGTCCAACAACTCGCTTTTGGTTAATAACGGGAAGCTGGAAGGTGCGAAATGTTCTGTTGGCAACACAGAATTATTGTATATTATTATTATAATAAGTATTGTATAGGGTGTTCCAAAAGTCTGGAAACGATATTATTCTGGCGAAACTATCAAATTTTTTGGCAAATAAATTTATAGGTGTGCACTCGCAATAAAAATGCTATTCAAATTTTTTTTTTGAATATTAACTATTTGTTTATACCTACGAAATAAATATATGTAGTAACATTGTTTCTTTTTTTTAATGGAAACCTACCACAATTTTTTTTTAGACAACGAGCTTGTTACAAGAATTGTTGCCATGCAAAAATTTTTTTTTGTAAACCTCACACTTTTTTGTTAAAAAAATGTTTGACTTACAAGAATTAAAGAATTTTTTTGAGTAAACTAAGAGTTTTTTTGTAAATAAATTAATAAATGTTCAAAGTTTGTAAAGGAGCAATGCCAAAATATTTTTTATTTTAATTAATTGTTTAAACTTTTGAGATTACCATACTAATAATTTTTTTCTTAAATAAAAACGGTTTTTTATTTATTGTTTTACAAAGATATGTTTATGCATTTTACAAATGTACAAAAATATTTATTGAAAATGTTACAATTTACGTTAAAAAAATTATAAACATTATCTATTGTCAAAACTTTCTTCCACCGGCCATGGGGTGGTATGTTAAGACCGACCATCAGTGGTAAGCACGCCTTCTTTTATCTCATTGCTATGGCGTCGTCATTTTGCTTTATTTTCCAAATAAAAATTACAATTGTAGGGAGGGTAATGTTTACGTAGATAATAATTGCAACTATTTGTTTGTTTTTGTATTTACAAAATAATAAAATGCATAAACATATCTTTGTAAAAAAATAAATAAAAAACCGTCTTTATTTAAGAAAAAAATGATTAGTATCATAATCTCAAAAGTTTAAACAATTAATTAAAATAAAAAATTTTTTGGCACCGCTCCTTTACAACCTTTAAACATTTATTAATTTATTTCC